ATTATTATGTGTTGTGTATTATGTATGTATTGATCTGTATATTATTATGTGTTGTGTATTATGCATGTATTGATCTGTATATTAGTATGTGGTGTGTATTATGTATGTATTGATCTGTATATTATTACGTGTTGTGTGTTATGTATGTATTGATCTGTATATTATTATGTGGTGTGTATTATGTATGTATTGATCTGTATATTATTATGTGATGTTTATTATGTATGTATTGATCTGCATATTATTATGTGTTGTGTGTTATGTATGTATTGATCTGTATATTATTATGTGTTGCGTATTATGTATGTATTGATCTGTATATTATTATGTGGTGTTTATTATGTATGCTATGTTCTGTATATTATGATGTGGTGTGTATTATGTATGTATTGATCTGTATATTATTATGTTGTGTGTATTATGTATGTATTGATCTGTATATTATTATGTGGTGTGTATTATGTATGTATTGATCTGTATATTATTATGTGGTGTGTATTATGTATGTATTGATCTGTATATTATTATGTGTTGTGTATTATGTATGTATTGATCTGTATATTATTATGTGGTGTGTATTATGTATGTATTGATCTGTATATTATTATGTTGTGTGTATTATGTATGTATTGATCTGTATAGTATTATGTGGTGTGTATTATGTATGTATTGATCTGTATATTATTATGTGTTGTGTATTATGTATGTATTGATCTGTATATTATTATGTGTATATATACATATACATATACATACATATTATGTATATTATTATATTATTAGCATGTAGTAATAAATATATATGTAAATATATATACATTGTATCATCATTCAATAATATTATATTGTTATTTATATTTGATTATGTAATTACTTTCAACACAATGATTTGTTAACTACCATGAATAAGTGAGTAACTATGGTATTATATGTTTGTTTTGAATAGTTACCTCTGAATTGTATATATTGTTGAAATGTAAAATTATTTATTATCTCTGCAGAAGCTATTGAGCTGAAAGTATGATAAGATAATGTATATAAATATGAATTAAAAAACAACTTGTTCTCTCGAAAATGGATTAAAATTGTT